GACTTTCCAAATCAAGAATCACCTTAAAATTGAGTATGTCGACAGGCAACTTCAAAGGAACAGATTGCCTTAGGCCTGTCCAGACTAAAAAATTGGACGTTGTCAATCCCTCACTTCTGAGAACATTAAAAGACTCAATATTTGACTTGTCAAAGAGCCGATCATTTGTATATTTAATATTCATATTAAAATAATGCTTACAAAAAACACTTTTACCATCGATTTTGATTTCTTTGTTGTCGATATAACATATTTGTAAACATTATTTGGATCTTCTATTTCTCTTATATTTGACCACCAAACTAATAGATCCTGATAAAAGGTGGATGAAATGTTTATCTGGTTTACATCATAATTACACTGAAGTAGAAAAAGACCCCCTTCATTATCCAAAAGATAATTAAGGTAAGACTTCCAGAAACCTGACGAGTCCTCATCCGTAATACGCATTAGCTAGCTCAACCTCAACGCTTTTATCATGTTGCATAATCTATCATTTTGAGGCCATCTTGCTCATAGGGTGCATACAATATTGACCTTGCCATGAATTGACAAACCCCTTGACTTCCATGAATTTATTGCATTTCTGATCTTTTTCAGCCTTTGCTTAAAATTTTTCTCCACTAGTATCTGCACATCATACTGTAGGTAATGAAAATTCCTAAAAACTTAACGCAAGTTTTCCATTTGACTCCAAGTGGTTCAATTGTTGCTTAGTTTGGCTCTATGAGGACTGAATGGTTCAGTTGGCCTTAGTTGGAATTCATATTTCGGGTGCTGTACTTTGAATGGTTAGTTCAGTTTTATTAGCAATCGATTTCACTGCTACGCGACCTTCGATATCAACACGGTAGTCGTCATTGTTTTGTATTTTAGATTTCGCAGACAACCTTCTCTTGGATCTCTATGGGGTAGAGTTTGGTGAACTAGCAGAAGTAACCTCAGTCAATCAACTTTATTTAGAGAGGATGACACATGACAGTATAAAGTCAAAAACGTAGTGGCCCTTTGTGCTAAAAATCTACGAGCAATCTACAAACCTCTCTTCTAACACCATATACATGCAGGTTTATTGTCACAGCAAAATGGATCTCTTACAGAAGTTTTCACAAGAGTTAATTTACTATGGTTATGCAGATCTCAGTGGCGGATCTAGACCTTGAGCTAAGGGGGAGGCCCGGTTTTTTTTTTTTTTTTTTT